CATACATACATACATACATGCATACATACATACATACATACATACGCACATACATGCATCATACATACATACATACATACATACATACATACATATATACATACATACATACATAAATACACACACACACATACATACATACATACATACATACATACAGATCTACATACATCCATAACCTCATGCATTCGTAATACATACATACATACATACACACATTTATACATACATAATACATACATATGTACATAACTGCATGCATGCGAACATACATCATACATACCTGCCTACCTACCTACCTACATACCTACCTACATACATACATACAGACATGTATACACACATACATACACACATACATACACACATACATTAATTACATTACCTTGCATTTCATTACGTTACATTACATGGCATTGCATTACATTACACTACATACATACATACATACATACATGCATGCATGCATGCATGCATGCATGCATGCATGCATGCATACATACATACATACGTACACACATGCATGCATACATACATACACGCATGTATACACTCCCACCTACTACGCACGTACGTACATACGTAGGTACATCGGCATGTATGCCAATGCATGCATGTATGAATGTAAGTATGCCTGTATGGGCATACACAGCTGTACATACGCACATCGACATGGATACATTCATGCATGAGCATGAGCACATGCGTGCAAGATCATGCAAACATGTACTCAAAGCTACATATCTGCACACACACAGAAATATGGATTAATGTCAGTGTAAGTGTATACATTATGTATATAGAGCGGACATAAGATGTATCTACGCGCATGTGCACGTACATACAATACACACATGTGTATATGTTTGTTTGTGTATCTATTTATTTGTTATTGTTTATTTATGTTCTTTCATTTATAAAGATGTATAATGTATGTATGTATGTCTGTATGTCTGTATGTATGTATGTATGTATGTACGTACGTACGAATGTATGTATGTACGAATGCATGAGGGTACGGATGTATGTAGATCTGTATGTATGTATGTATGTATGTGTGTCTGTATGTATCTACGTATCGCGACACAACTAGGCCCACTAGGCCGTAGGCACCGCAACAAAGAGTAAGGTTCATGTTGCGCACGCAAGCACACATACAAGTATACACATGTTGACTTACCCTAAGCCCCCAGGTACCTACTATATAGGGTACTAGAGCCCCTAGGGCCCTATATAGTAGGTACCTGGAGGGTTAGACTTAGCGAGGGGCTGAAACTGAAGCGTCGCTTGGACCTTGGTCGTGCCAAAGAGAACCACATCGCGAATAAGCAGCAGGTCGCCTGCATCAACAAGCAGCAAATAATATACTATAGTATACTATAATATACTATAATATACTATAATGTACGATAATATACTATAATGTACTATAATGTACTATAAGAAACTTGACGGATGCAAGAACTTGGCCTAGAAACGCCAAACATGCAAGCAGTTCAGGCGAAGCGCTCCAGGGTATGCTGCAGACCTCTTGCTGCTATTCGTGTTGCCTCAAGCTCCTCGCCTGAAGACGACCTTGATTACATATATCCTTGACCAGACAGCTCTAATACCAAAGTCTTCGAGTGTTCCGCAAGTGGGTCCCCTCAAACGGGGGCCTATGGGCGCTTCCTTCTAAAGAACTAGGTTCTGAATCCATGAGCAGGAAGGCTACTTCCATTTTGGGTCTGGAGCTGCAGTTTGCATCTTAGTCTTTGTCGCCCCTCCTGAAGTTACTACACGCTGCCTTGCGCGCTTGCACGTGAGGAGAAAAAACGCATAATAAGGGCAAAACTGCACACGCGCACGTTGGCAACCCGTGCGAAAAGCTCGCTGCAACAGCGCGCGTGGCGCGCATCATCTTCACAACACTTCTCGGAAACGATTCCCGCAGGCAAGTCAGGGTCCCGTCACACACAGTGCGTTTTGATTCTGAAGTCGACAAGGGTTGCGACGATGCACAACTAGACCAGGCGACAACTGACACCAATTGAGGATTCGAAGGCTGAGCAAGCCTTGCACCGCCGTTACAGCACCGCCAGGCACAGACCAGCAAATAGCAACGCCTACAACTCCCAGCTCGCCGACAAAGCCCCAACCCCAAAAAGACGAAGCCCTTCAATTCGAGGCCTTCCAATTTGTCAGGTTCGAGTGAATTCACAGCCGTCTGGATGTAGCCGGCGAGGGAGGCGGGATCGTTGCCTGCATGGGATGGAGACCGAGGGCACCGGAGTCTCGGAGACTTGGAGATTATAGTGGCAGTCGCTGTCGCCGACGACGACTGCCAAGACGATGACGATCAATTTTCACGAGAGGAGGCGTGTGACCACGGTGATGTGGGTGATCAGGGACATCGGACGGGATGTCGACGATGATGACGGCTGATAACACTAATAACAATACGAACGCATTGACCTCAATCATACACATACTCAAGCCATGACCCATGCGATGATTGAGGTGATGTTGATGTCGGCTATGTTGATGATGGCGATGAACATGACTATGCTGTCAGTGCTGAGTATGCTGGCGGCTTTGAGCATGTTGATGGCTATGACGGGTGTTGATGGCAACGATGATGAAGACATCGACGACGTGGCAATAAGCCAACAAGACAAAAAGCCTCCTTAGCTCGCCAAACCACAATGGTCATGTCAGCGATGTCTCCCTGGAATCGTGGCGTCTGAGGCTACCGGCCTGTAGACAAGTCGAAGATGCTCATGCCCTCCGAAATGTCGTCAGCTCCGTTCTCGAGACCTGATAGAACCGGCTTGAAGTCAACTCTAACTGTACTCGCAAGTCCCGGGCTGCTTGAATGCTTCAGTCTTAGGGCTTTCTCCGTGTGCTTGTGGGCCATGCCCGCCGTAACTCAGATTACACTCAAATTGCTTCAGTGTCTCTTCGCCTGCTTTCAAGCTCTCGACTGGTCAGCTTTCCTGGTGTGCTCATGTGCTTTTGAATGCTTGGTACCTGTGTTACGCTAAGGCTTATGCCTGTGTTTGCTTATGGATATAAGTACGGGCAGACATCCCGCGTGATGTCACACTCTGCCACATTGTATCTAAGCAGTGTTAACGCTTGTGACACTGAAAAGGGGGCGGCAGCCATCCTGCCAACTAGCTAGACACATCGAGCCGCTTTAGATTTTGACAGCTTGGGGTCAAAGGTTCCGGCCGGAACCCTGGTGGCATCTGAAGAAGACCAGCTGCTAAGAAGGACGACATGCTGGTGAGCACCAAGGGGCAAAGCTTTTTGAAGCCCGCGGACAGGGAGAGGATGTCAAAGGAGGTGGCGTCAAATGCAACGGAACAGGCGTCCTCCGTCTGGCAATGCAAATTCCGGAAACAAAAAAGCTGCTTACGCGGATGCTCCACGTAAGCCTTATCTTGCTGGAGGCTAACTGAACAGCCTCTGAAGCGTCCTCCGAAGGGCTGGCTGCAGGCGAGTGTGCCTAAGGTTCTCTTGACTGCTTGAAAAATAAATGCTTGTCTTGAGCAGGCGACGTGGGCTTAGAAACGTTCACACTTCATTCAGTCTTGTCGAGGGACGGCACCCCGAAGACTTGGGTTGGGTCGATTCGTTCCACGCACACTGCGTCCCCTATGGATTCCTACTCAGAAGGTAACTACCGGCGGCAATGTCATAGTGTTCTTAGAGTCTTAGAGCAGCCAAAGGCACAGGGCCCATAGGAAGAGGCACTGCCACGGAGTTGAAGTCTTGGAACTCACGCATTCCGACCAAGCGACACTCTTGTCCATCTGCATTCTGGAAGGACGTAAACAAGATCTCTACTTTCACAAAGTTGCCCAAGCAATCCTGCATCCGAGCGTTGAGAGCCAAGGCTTGTGTGCTCTCGTGTTTCGCACCCAATGACATGCTGATGTGTTCCCGGTCGTCCACATGGAAAAAGCTGAGGAAGTCGTAGCCGGCCAAACTTCCAGCAGAGATGCCATGCCCGTGCAGAAGCAATGTGGAAAACTGCCGAGAGTCGTCTGTGAGTTTCAGGCTGCTATCAACCTCGACCACTGCATCACAGTATCCAAGAAGCAGTCCCGAAACTGCTGAGAGCTCAATGGTGCGCGTGCTCAACTCAAAACTCATCCTGACATTTTCATACAGTGCGTGCCTGAGGGGAAAAACGCCGGAGAATAGCAGAACAAGTTCGGCTGACTGTGCGAGAAAGACATCGCTTTGCAATCGGAACTCCACCTGTTTCACAGCTAAGATCCAGTGAACCACGTTCCCAATAACTGGAAGCCACCCACGCTTCGGGCACAAACCCAGCATCACGCGAGGAAGCAAAGTGATGAGGGAGACGCTGGTGACATCCGCTGGTGCAGTCCAAAGTAAAGGAATTACACAAAGCGTTTGCAGCAGGACGTACCAAATATCCAGCGTTCTGCAGGAAATGGCCCTGTGGTGGAAAATGACTAGAAAGAGCACTATTGGATATGAGATAATGTTGGAGACGTCCAGCGAAGGTTGCAGCTGATGATTCTGACGCTTCAGCAGAGGGCCTTGAATGGCAAGCAATCGCAGAAAGAGAGCCACAACTACGACTCTGCAGCCGTTGGTCAACAGTTTGCACAACGTGTCGACAAACTTCGCCTCGACGCGTGCGTTGCCGGGCTTGGGCTTCGGTTTCTGAGTCCAGCGATCTCTGAGGCTGCAGAGGCCATATTGCATCTGAACAACTATGTCGGGCAGCTGACCCCTCCACAGAGATTGTAAGAAAGCAGCACACAAAGTTGCTGCAGTGATACCCTGCAAGAAAACGATGCAGAGCGCCTCCACCCCTTCAAGCTCCATGGCCGAGGGAATTCAATATACAAGCTTCTGCGCAGGGCTTGCTGCGCTCCCTTCGGGAGCAGAAGCAGCACCAATAAAAATAAAAAGGGGATCCGAACTCCTGACTACATGCTTGTGCCCATGGGACTACGTCCACAATCAACTCATGGCGATGCCTCCTTCGGCACGCGAGGATATCAGACTTGAGATTTGTTCTGTTTCTAGCAGGGGCAAGTCGCACGGGTGTGTGGACTAATCAATCGACCGGCGATGGAAATATTAGTTGTGGGCTGTGTTGTAGCAGGCGTGTTTGATCCAACATGGTATGATCGGAGATGATCGGAGTAGTCATAGTTTGCACGGCAAGAACTGCATGCACTGCAGTTTACCAGCTGCATTGTCAAGTTTTTTGCAGTCGGCGATCTCAACCCAAACTTAACCCTGAACGCAGTCGCATACCGGTCTGTCTTCCACCACTGCAATTACCCAGCAGCAACACGTGGAGAGGTGGTCCAGTGGTCCTTGTTTCTCTTCCGGCATAGGCAGGCGGCTCTTGCAAGCGGTTCTCAGGACACATCCTCCTTACAGCGACTGCCAGGGCCTGGAGGGCCCGTCCTGATTACCAGCCAGCTCACAAATACCACCAGAGCAAGACGAAGGATGCTCTGACAGGCCTTGCCTCCTCTTGGATCTACTGCAAACTCATAATTCAACATTTACGAATGCATATGTTTGCTGTCTTCTCTCCATCCTGCTCTGAGTCTGTCTCAAAGATGCGCACGACTTCGTCAGTGGCAGTTGTCATATCCAAGTTCCCTCGCTGCAGCCGATCAAAGGTGTACTGTGGCATTGCCATGCTTGCTCCAATTTTGCAAACTAACACTAACTCGCAGTGCCACATCGCTGCTTCTGCTGTTGCACCCATCAAAAGAGGGTTTACCGTGTTGCACTGGCCCAGGGACACTCAGTCGTGTCTGGCAGCCGTGGTGCCCCAGCGCACAAACAGGACGAAACCAAACTGCAACTTGGGAGTCCTCTCGTACGAAGGCAAGCCTGCTTCAGGACAGGGTACCACGGCATCCGTAGAGGATACTTGATAAAACACAAGGACAGCACTACACGAGAAGGCGGGAAGTTGGAATTTCAAGCAACTGGTGGGAGGCCCCATTGGAGCAAGACGCACGAAACTGTTCTTCCGACGCGCAGGTGCCAATGGACTCCAAGCTTACAGAGCCATAACCTGCTTCCGAAGATCGAGAATACTACCCTGGCGAACATGCTTGCCACTTGCACCACCTCGCTGGCGACCTGGCCGCCGAGAGCAACAAAGTTCGAGAGTATGTCACATTATGATATTTCTTATGGCATGTGTCTTTTGTTGCTTTTTCCAGTCACTTGTGTGTGGTTGGTTTGGGGAGGGGATGTAATCCGCTAGAAACAGTCCGAGGCATGTAAAGCGATTGTATATAGTTCATGCTTGTACCTTGCAAGGTCCTACGGCATCCTCCCCAAATGGATATGATATGCTTCAAAGCTCGTGAGAGTCGTGCCTCAAAATTTTCTTGTGGTCTATACTTGCTGGCCTTTATCTGCTTGTAGCTGAATGCATGCAGCAGTTGTCTACGACTCTGTTCATGTTTGACCTCATTGGTGGCATTAAACTTGTACCGCGAAACTCATTTCCTTTGAAGTGGCGAGAAGCTCTCATAGCTACACGCTGTAAGCCCTCCAGAATACTCTGGGCCCATCTGGGCCCTTCAAACCCAACCTGGCAAACCCAAATCATGTACGTAGGGGGCCTTAACAATGAGAATACGGTTTTGTAATGTATTGTACTTTAAGGCATCTGCTAATCATTCACATCCCAATGATCCCAACCCGGGAATAAGCCGAGAGGCGGGAACTGCGCGAGCTCTTGGGGCATCCACTGCCCTTTGAGCTGCGAACAAGTCCATTTCCCTGGTTCAGTGTTACAGGTTTGGAGTGCGGAGTTGGGGCTGTAGACCTTCGGGGGGTATGGGTCGGGGTTTCGGAATTCGGGCTTCAAGACTATTTCGGGTTTAGGTAGTCATTGGGTCTCACAAACAAGGGTGTTCAGCACCCGGTCAACCTGCGGCAACAAAACCCTCCCCGGCTGGCATGGGCTTAGGATTCTGAGTTCTTTGGCTGGCAGCGTCTATGTAATTGACTCTCACGCAGGGCATTGGGGCTCGCTGTCTCGCAAAAGGACAAGTTTTATGGTCTTGACGTTGAGACGACAAAGTACACACTTAAGAATGCCTGGAATGCTGTGAGATCCGCTGCGACGTGTGCAGTGACATTGCATTTGGACATGAAGCCTGTCCAACAATGTCTTCGTCTATGCTTCAAGTCTGCCGGCTATTGCTGGCATGGGGCAGAGAACTTCGCCAGGTTGTTCGCTGTTAACATCAGCGTCGGTGGGGCAGGATTGATGTGCAAGGTGCCTACAATGGCATCCAGCATCTTGTCCGTCCTTACTCGGAGCAGCATGGTCAACACAATAGCAAGAAGAACGATGACAACAGCTACAGCTTCGAAGCCACGGACCTTGGATTGTTCAGCAAAACAAAACTGCTCGAACCGTGGCGTGCCCAAGGCCTGCTAAACACAGACAGCTAACCGACATAGCTGAGGCCCAAGTGGCAAGACAGTGGGCTTGCCGGCCCAAGGTTCAGTAAGAGGTTGCTTAACAATCGCATCGGCCCGCCACGAGTCCGGGAGCAAACGAATGAAGACAGACATCGACACACAAACCTGTGCTTACATGCACAAGGACCAGCCTGCATTTCTAGACACAGAGACAAACAGCTCCGAAAGTTACAAACAAAAACCGACAGCGTCAGGCAAGGTAGACCCCAAACACTAGAGACCCTGAAGCCTTTTGCAAGCAAGGGGCTGAAATTCAAGCGCCGCCTCGACCTTGGTGTTGCCGAAAAGCTCCAGGTCGCGAATCATCAGAAGGTCACCTGCTTGTCAAGGGCTTCGACGCGTTGGTTTGCCATAGTGTTTCTGGTTGTTGAAATTTGTTCATTCGTCCGTGCTGCTAATTCTATTTTGCTACTGGCAAAAGTACTATTCATTGGCGAGGCTCCAGTGGCAAATCGTGCATGCATAAACTGACAGCGCACGGATCGATGGAAGGCTACCGTGATTTCCCCGCAATTCAGTCATCAAGCCTGGCAAACCCAAAGCTACAGGCGGCCAGCCCTCGGACACAAAAAGGCTCATGAACCGCCTTGAATTTCCATTTTTCCCAACTCCCTGGCCTTCCAACTTCTCGGGTTCAAGGGCGTTCACAGCGGTCTGGATGTAGCCGGCCAGAGAATTGGGATGCTTGCCTGCGCTGGGATGTCGAACGCAACGAGAGTGACTTCACCATCCAAAACACTTACAAGAGATTTGCAAGAGTCAGGGTGCCAACCTGGAGACAAGTCGAAGATGCTCATGCCATCTGCAATGTCCTCGAACCCATTCTCGAAGCCTCGGCTAAGGTGTGGGCTTTTGCATGGGCCGTCTTGCGAGCAGAATGTCAGAAGCACTTGGATTTAGCCTTCGGGAACGATCGAAACCTGACATTAAAACACACATGTGGTCGTCAACAAGATAGACTACACAAACCAACACGAGAATGTCATGCAAACGAACCTCGAAGCATGAAGCCGCAACACGTGCATCAAAAGTAAGTATTCCACTTCCACTATCTGCGCTAGCCGCCGCCGACACCGTGCCGTCGGCATAGTCGTAGTAGTAGTAGTCGTCGTCGTCGTCGTTGTCGTTGTCGTAGTAGCAGTAGCAGCAGCAGTAGCAATAGGAGTAGGAGTAGTAGTAGTAGTAGTAGTAGTAGTAGTAGCAGTAGCAGTAGTAGCAGCGGCAGCAGGAGGAGGAGGAGGAGGAGGAGTAGTAGCAGCAGCAGCAGCAGTAGTAGCAGCAGTAGTAGTGCTGTTGCTGCTGCTGTTGTTGTTGCTGCTGTTGCTGTAACAGCAGTCTTTGAAGATGGTAGCCAGTAAGTCGCATTGGGATGATTGCAGCAGCTTTGCAGTAACAAAAGTAGCTGGCATCGTCAAAATGCTGGTGTCGTCTAAAGAGGAGGGCAAAGGAGGAGGAGGAGGAGTACAAAACTACAAACGCTTTGCGCGTAATTAATGAGTTTGAGCTCTTTGTGCGAGCATTCTCTTGTCGTCGCGCTGCACTCCTCCTTCTACTCGTCCTGCGTCGTCGTTACTGCCGCCACAGCTGGCGCAGCTACGATCAAGAACACAAGGACTTGACTAGCTGCAACGCAATGAAGAGTTACCTCTCCGGGCTCTCCCTGTGACTGGGAGATCAAAGGCACGAAACACGGGCGCCCGCACAAAGTAAAGCTCAGCAACCATGCAAATTTACGCTGAGTCAGTACTTTGCTCAGCTACAAACCTTGACAGTCTCTGTCGCCCGACGACAACACATGCATGTGCAACTTACACAGATGCCTGTGAGGAAAGAGTCTTGCTTATCCCAGCTCTCAAACCCGGGATCCATAACAGACCGAGGAGCAAAGCTTCTTGAAGGCTGCGGACACGGAGAGGATGTCGAAGGACGTGGCATCAAAGGCAACGGAACAAAGATCCTCTGTCCATCACTGTAAACTTTGTTAAAGAGTCATTCGAGACAAATGGCAATCATGGCATGCCTCTATGCAACGACAGAAGCTCCTGCGATGGACTTGCCTCTGCTGGTGAGAGTGCCTTTGTTCTCCAGGCTTCATTCTTGAAGAACCAAAACATGCAGCGAAAGCGTTGTGTATTGGGGCTGGCGCCCAGCAAGGGCACCCAACCGGGACCAGGACAGCCTACTAAAGAATATCCAAGGTGCAGGACCTGCAGGAAGCGGCACAGCAACAGAGCTGAAATCCTGGAATTCACGCATTCCGACCAAGCGACACTCTTCGCCATCTGCATTCTGGAAGGACGTAAATAGGATCTCAATTTTCACGAAGTTGCCCAAGGAATCCTGCATCCGAGCGTTGAGAGCCAAAGCTTGGGTGCTCTCGTGTTTCGCACCCAATGACGCCCCGATGTGTTCCCGGTCGTCCACGTGGAAAAAGCTGAGGAAGTCGTAGCCGGCCAAACTTCCAGCAGAGATGCCATGCCCGTGCAGAAGCAATGTGGACAACTGCCGAGAGGCGTCTGTGAGTTTCAGGCAGCTATCAACCTCGACCACTGCATCACAGTATCCAAGAAGCAGTCCCGACACCGCTGAGAGATCAATGGTGCGTGTGTTCAACTCAAAACTCATCCTGACATTTTCATACAGTGCGTGCCTGAGGGGAAAAACGCCGGAGAATAGCAGAACAAGTTCGGCTGACTGTGCGAGAAAGACATCGCTTTGCAATCGGAACTCCACCTGTTTCACAGCTAAGATCCAGTGAACCACGTTCCCAACAAATGGAAGCCACCCACGCTTCGGGCACAGACCCAACGTGACGCGAGGAAGCAAAGTGATGAGGGAGACGCTGGTAACATCCTGTGGCGCGGTGGAGAGCAAAGGAATCACACAAAGCGCTTGCAACAGGGCATACCAAACATCCAATGTTCTGCCGGAGATGACCTTGTCGTGGAACACGGCCAGAAAGAACATGATTGGATATGAAATAAGGTTTGAGATGTCCAGTGAAGGCTGCAGCTGATGAGGCTGATTTCTCATCAGCGGGCCCTGAATAGCCAGTAGTCGCAGAAATAGAGCGCCTGCTGAAATCCTGGCGATGTTGGTCAGAAGACTGCACAAAGTGACCACAAACTTCGCCTGCACACATGCGTTGCGGGGCTTGGGCTTGGCCACCTGAGTCCAGTGGTCTCGGAGGCTGCAGAAGCCATACTGCATCTGAACGACCATGTTGGGAAGTTGACCCTTGCAAAGAGATTGAACCACAACCGCACACAACGCTACCGCAGTGATCCCTTGGAGAAAGATGATGCACACCGCATCCACTCCCGCAAGCTCCACCATGGCAGGGCAAACAGAAATTTACTTATCGGCACGTCCCGGAAGGCTTGCCGCGCTCCCTTCGGGAGCGCTGCAGCACCTTGGAAAGGAGTCAAGACTCCTATCTACTGCTAAGTGCCTAGAGGCAGATGCCCAATCACGGTCGGAAGAATACTTTGCAACGGTGCCTTGGCGCTGCAGTCTTGCAAAAACCTCACCCTGGACAGGCGACTACTGCAAAAACCAACATGCTCACAGTTCTCGCGATCATCGAACAACTGCACAAAAATCCAACTAAACCTAAACTTAAACCTGAAGGATCCCTGCACAACATTCACGATCATTGCGTCGCTGTAGAACAAATGACATAATATGCTTTTACAGAACCGTGCAGAACATTGATGGCACCACGTGCTTCGCCTCCTACTCCTACTCCTACGCCTCCTCCTTCTCCTACTACTACTACTACTACTACTACTACTACGACGACGACTGCTACTGCTACTGCTACTACGACCGCTGCTGCTGCTGCTGCTGCTGACGCTGCTGCTGCTGCTGCTGCTGCTACTGCTACTCCTACTACTACTACTACTACTACTACTACTACTGCTGCTGCTACTACTGCTGCGACAACTGCTACTATTAGGATCAGTAGCAGCAGCAGTAATGGTAGTCGTAGTCGTAGCCGTCGTCGTAGTAGCAGAAGCAGCAGCAGCAGCNNNNCGTCGTCGTCGCAGTAGTCGCAGTAGCAGCAGACGCAGCGGCAGAAAGAGAAGCAGAAGCAGTAGTAGCCGTAGTCCTAGTCGTAGTCACAAACGTAGCACTAGCAGTAGGACGAGTAGTAGTAGTAGTAGTAGTCGTCGTCGTAGTAGTCAAGTAGTCAGCGCAATATTCCTAGTTGTCCTCGTCTTCCTCACTACTTATACACATCGATGTATCAAATGACTTTCATCTTATCATCATTTTCTTCTTATTACTTATCCTCAGCGTCATCATCACCGCCGTCTCGCGACACCTTCATCACCATGACTTGCACTGCTACACTATGCACATTCCAATGCGACAATATTGACAGTGGCGGTGCAAACGAGAAAAGACATTGGTGCTAATCAATTTTACACCTAGCAGTACTATGTCGGCAACCCGTCTGCTCCTGAGCCCTAAAACAAGACAACGGGCATGCTTCTCAAAAGAGTACTAACACATCAATCCACATAAACACTGGCGTGAATAGCGACGGCAACAGGTTCCAACATGCACTGGTTTGTGGTTTGTAACTCTGCAGACTCAGAAGGAAAAAAAACGGCTCCCGCCTGCAGGAAGTGTGCCTTCGTGATACCACACCTGAATCTTAAGCATGAGTTTAGGAGGTTTAGGCGGTGATGACTATTCGGTGTTCGCTTCCTAACACGTAGCTGCACAGTCTGTACAATCTCCTTTCTGTTCCACGACCGCCTCTCACCACTTAGCAACGGCTCGGAACAGGAATTCCAAACAACTTGTACAGTTGCGAGAGAGGCGCAGAGTAGGCGAGATCAATCGGCTGGGCAATTTGCTCGATCTCTTCCTGCTTGTGCAAGCCGGGTCCGGAATGTAAACAGCAAGTCACATTTTAAAGGACCTGCTCCACCGAGGACAAGCGAAAATAACAGTCTCAGCGCGTGGACGTCGCTAGACGTGTGTGAACGGCCAAAGCCACGTTCGTGGTACGGCGGTGTCCTCTGAAATATTTCGAGCGCTGAAATCCGCACGGTGCCTCCCAGAGGTCAGACGACAACGGGCATAAGCCTGCCCACGTGGAAACTCTCTCCTCTGCGGTCAAAGGTGCATATCCAGGAGCTTGGTGTGCACCAAATGTCGCAAGTCTTGCCCCTGCTGGCCTGCCGCAGATACAAGCCAGTATGGTGCTTGAGTCAATCAGTATTCTGGGGTTTGCTGTCTTGATATGCCGCAGCCGCAGAAGATGTGCCGATTTCAGGTCCGACGAAGTGCCAACATTCAAGTTTGTTCTCGTCGCAGGCTTGACGCGACCATCTTCCATCCATACTTACAGTGTAGACACTTTCTGATTGTCTCCGTCTTCACTCACACACCGTGTTGCCTAAGCCTTCCCACTTTCTCAACGTGCACATAGCTTCCCAACATCCCCTCCCCAAATGCTTCGGACATCTGGTTGCACTTACCACCAAGAATGCAACAAACACAGGCTTCTGCGCAATGCCAAGAATGACTAAAATCTCTCCATGGCGGCAACTCACCGCCTACCTTGTACCACCCACTTTGTTATTGTTGTTGCTGCTGTTGCTGCGGCAGTTGCTGTCCAGCTTCTGTTGTTGTTGTTGTTGCTGTTCCTGTTGTTGCTGGTGCTGGGTGTGGACTTGTCTTGATGTTCCCGCTATCATTCCTGCAGCTGCAACTGCAACTGTTGCTGTGCTGTCCAGGGTGCTTCTCTTTGTCTGCTACTCGCCTCGGCCCAGGCCGAAGAGGTCAAAGATTCCCTCTTTCCCCTTTCCCTTCCTCCCAAGCCCCCCAGAAATATTTTGACCGAGGGGACCCACCATTTGCTCAAAAAAAGCCCTTCGGGCTGAGGCGCGGTCGATGCGAAGCGTTTACACTTATTCTCGGGTCCTTAGTGCCCTAGTTACTGTCCCAAGTCCGGAAGCTAATCTCGGCCTTCTGCCAGCGTCAGCGGGTCTGCGGAGCTCCTGCGTCTCAAGCCGGCCCAGAACTCCATACAATGCCTCGGCTTGTGGTGAAGGCTGGGACCTACAGGGTCGGGTTATGGGGGTTTGGGCTGTGCGGCTTGAGAACTTTAGGGCGAGGGGAAGTGACAATAAGTAGTAGGTTTTGGCTCTGAGGTTCAGACATTGGGCTTTACACGGCCTTAGTATGAGATGACACAGCAAACATGCCCATGCCTGTGTCTTTATGTGTCCTCCGCAGGCATATTATAGCTACAGACAAAGCCAAAGCTGAAATCTGAGAAGGTTCACGTTAACTAAACTTGTGTATGTAGTACACTTAGGAGCGACAGTATGCTCATGAACGTTTCGGCTGCTTTAGGGGGCCGGCTCAAGGAGCCTTTGCTGCCTATACTCCTCCCAACGCCAAATACTGACACTCATCTGCTTCTGCTGCTTGTGACAACTCCAATACAGGGCTGTTGCTGGAAAACTCCTGTGTGCCCGATGCATGCAACCAGTGCATCCGTGCGTTGTCCCCATACGCACCTGCGAGCACGCGCGAGTTGACACAATTGGCAACATGGACAAACGCACTCGCGACACTAGAGGGTGCTTAAGAGTGCTCGACCTATGTGTGCAAGGCACAGCTGCGAGGGCTGGGTCAGGGAGGGGGCACCGCGTGCAGGTCCTTGGTCGATGCTCGGCCCCGTTCTAAGTTCTGCTAGCACCCACGGTGTCGCTGTTACTTGTACTGCATGCCCTTTATTTTGTTTACGAATACCAAGGCCGGGAGGGAGCTGCAAGAGCATGCAACAGTCGGCACCACCAACCCACAAGGCCGTGTTCCGTCTATCAATTTTGTCGTGTGCCTTGACACAAGGTCTATCTCTCCGAAATCATCAGTCCATTGCAGGTTCCAGAAGTGATACATTGCGACAGCACTGGCGGTGCGCATTCTGGCAATGATGATGCTACCATCTATGCTGCCGGACCGCGGAAAGCTCGAAGGACAGCTCTGCGAATGCCGGTAAAAAACCTGCAGAACTCCTGCAAGGGACGGAAGCATGATGTCTGTCAGAGCCGCAGCCATCTGTTTTTGCCAGAGATTGCCGTTGTTGCATAGCTCATGTTTTCACTCTATGAGTCCGAATCAGCTTCCTGCAGTCACTCGCAGGCGTCACAGCCGAGTTTGCCACGGACATGAAAAAACAATCAACCAGATGCAAAGGATCGGTGGTGGTGTGAGTACCATGGTCAAAATTCAACTAATCAGGGCAATATGGCTCGGGTGCATGTGAGAAAGCCCCAGCGTGTGTCCTGTTTTCGAGCTGCTTCCGTCTGCGCAGGTGTGTTCTAGCTACCGACATCCATACATGGGCGCATCGATGCTCATTCACACCCAAATCTTTGATTTTCTAGCCCTGGATGGGCAGACATGACCTCGTTCCCAGTGTCGTGACACCCACCTCCCGGGGCCCAAGCCCTGACACTCCGAAGCCTCGTGTTTCACATACCACAAACCATACCCAAACGGTCAGCACTCTATAGACCCTAAACCCTATCAAGCGAAAGCCTGAAGGGTCAGCCCTGAACCCAACACCCTAACTAATTCTTTTGGCGTGCAGGTGCAGATGGTGCAGGGGGTCACCCAATGCCCTCACCCCAATTCGTGGAGCGGAAAAGCTGGGACTGTCCTCGGCACTCTTGGACATCCACGCCCCTTGGCACCTCACATCTTCAAGCAAACTGGTCAGCTGAGTTGGGCATGCAGCCCCCTAACACCAGCAACCTTTCTGACCTTGCTGTTATGCGACAAGTCCGGATACCCATCAGCCAAAGCTATGGAGTCTTCTTCTGGACAAGTCCGGATTTCTTCGCTGGGCGTGACCCTTCCCTTCGCGCCTCTCGCGCCGGTCGCCAGGCACGAAGCCTTGAAACGTCGCGTTTGCCTGCGAGGCACAGAACCTGCCAAGGAAAGGCGCGGGTGCCGAAATTTCATGGGGTTTCTCTCAAGGATGGTTCTCCGAGGACTGTCTGAATTCAAGTCCATCAAAATTGAGTCTGGGTCTTGCATAAAGGAACAGCACTAAGCAGGCCAGACAAGTTGAAAAACGCCTTCTTCCAGCGTCCGGTGACATTCGTTTAAGTCAACAACTGCAATATTATTCATATAGTATATTAGTCCATACCATTATATAGTATACTATAGTATATAGTATATAGCATCAAAGGATCGTTGCTTCTGCCTTTTATTGACTTTATTGCCAATTATACTGGTTTCTTGATGAAGGTCAGCTGCACTATAAGACCCGTTTGCTGGCGCCAATGGGTGTCCTCTGA